ATGACTTATTTAAACAAGCTTACTCATTTTAATGAGATAAGTTCAATTTCCTTTAGTGATTGATTTATTTAAGTTTTTTGTACATCCATCTATTTTCTTTAACCATTCCTACTTTTTCAACTTTAGGACTTCCTCCCTCCCGTCAGTCATCATGCTTCAGTGACTCGAACGCCAATGATGGATCATGTTCAAAGCGGACTTACTGGTCAGCATACAGAACTAATTGCTTCCCAAACTTCTAATATAAATTTTAAAGATAATGAAATAGCTCAAACCTTGAAAATACAAGACATTTATTAGCATTTTAGTTGCCATGCCCCCTGTAAAAATCCTCTAAACTCTGCTGCAGGCATGTTGACAATCTGGAACCGTGAATGTATTAACTTTGTGCTTATCCTAATTTGAGACAATTAATTTTTGCCCGAAGCCTCCTTTTCGGTCTTGTTAAAAATGTTTAATCTCTACGTTTCGTGCCGACCTTAGCCCATCATGGTCGGCACGAATAATGACCTCTATTCTTTAATGAGTTCTATCATCATGAGGCAAAATGCAAGACTTAAGAGGCAAAAAATATGTATTCTGGTAATAATGGTCCTTTTATTCACTTTAAAATAATATTTAAAGCTTCCATGTATTCGGTAGTAGTTAAGCTTAGTAAAGTACGGTCTGACGAAAGTATTAACAAACTAGCTTTTTCGAATGTTCTTTTAAGTAGACATCTGAAAATGTTCGGCTTTATCAATGGCTATATAGGATGTCCTTTAATATATTTGTTGAGCTTGCATCCATTTAAAGTGAAAGTCTTTGGTGAAGAGATTCGCAGATTAATCCCACCAGAAGACAATGGCGGAATCCTCTTGACCAGCTGTCGATTGGCTTTACTGGTAATCTCCTTCGATTCCGGTGAAAATGTACTAAGCTATCGTCCATCATATGACGAACATCATCAGACTAGGGTATCATCGTCACAACCAAATTCAAGCTAACGAGTCAAGAAGACTCACCGGAAAATCCCTAAAAAGTGGTATATATACTCCACATCTGGCCTCTTTGATCAAATATTAAATGATTTGGTTAGTTACGGTCATATGTCAGCCTCGAAGCCTGTGAGTGTGTCTTTCTCTGTATGCGTATGTGACTGTTTGTGTTTGCCTCGAGTTTGACATATGACCGTGAATAACCAAATCACTTTATACCTGATCAAAGAGATCAGATGTAGAGCATATATACCTCTTTTTATGGATTTTTCGGTGAATTTTCTTGATTCGTTTGCTTCGATTTTGTTTTCACTATGATACCTTGCTCTGATGATGCTCATCATATGACGGACGAAAGCTTAGCACCTTTTCACCAGAATCGAAGGAGATGACCTCGGAAACAGTGTCAGCATGAGTCTTCCACTCAAGCCAATCGACAGCTGTTCAAGACAAATCCGCCGTCGTCTTCTGGAGGAATCGACCTTCGAATCTGGTCACCAATCACTTTCACTCGAAATGGAAGAAAGGTCAACAATTATGAAGCAAGAGATTCCCAGAAACTCACCTTTTCTTCGCATATCCTTTAACATATTTATAGTCCCCCACTTTGCTATAATTGTATCTTCATTTTCAAATCTAAATATATTATTAGAGGCTTTTGGCTACGATTATTTCTAAAGCAACCTTTTCATTGGCGTTGCTGCTTTTGGATGTCAACCTCTGACCTTTAGCCCCAGTACAATGAAAAACCATCTTTAATCACCCCTAATTATGATGATGAGATCTGGCAAGATTTGCAGGGCATTGATCTTAGAGGAGTGTGGTACAGAAGACCAGCTTGTTTTGAGTTCTGGCTTCAGTCGAAAACTGAAGAGGCCAAGTGAGGCTGGAAGGGATATCTTGTCTTAATGAGAGTACACATGTGCATTCTATTTTTTCTTTTACATGTCAGCTGTGGCTGCTGTTCCGACCAGTCTAGGGTCCAGAACCAACAGAGACGACAATACGGACCACGAAGTCGAGCCGTTTGGAGTTGAACGGAGAGGATGCAAGCCGCTGGCATATCGCCAGTCTGTAACAGCCAAGCAGGCGGTGGAAGGCAAAGTGTGCCATTCGCAATCCGATCAAGAGCTTCGGCCGCCATTTCCGATTGAGGCGCGTGGTACCGGATCTCATCCGGACTCCTCTTCCTCCGCCTCCTTGCGATCCCACATGGCAACTTGCCGATCATCTGGCGACTTCGCTGCCACAGTTCGGCCGGCGAGTTTTTCGTCAACCCGTCCGGTTGAAGCGTCTGACGCCGGTGAACATTTCGCTCCAGACAACCGATGGCTCGGCGAGAAAAATGCTTGGGTTGCCTATTACACGACAAGACTGGTCGCAGGTCGTGAGGCGGACGTCGACAAGAAGGGAGGACGAACAGTCTCCTCCAAACTGGCCAAGCTAAGGTGCGAGGAAGTTGGTACTGTACCGGAAGAGGACGAATGTGAAGACGATAGAGACGGATGTGAACCGGCCGAGGTTGAAGTGGAGCCCGAAGTTGAGACTGCAGTAGAGGAACAAGGCAAAAAGGAGCATAATGCATGGTTTAAAGCAGAGAACGATCAAAAGACGACTGGAGCTGATGCTGTGGCGAGAGGAGGTCGGTGGAAGAGTGATCCAAACCAAAGTGTACAACATCACCAGTCTTACCATCTTTCGCCAGAGCCAGACGAAAGAGACAGAAGCAACCGTCTTTCTTTTAATTCAGACAACGAAATCTCCTTCGCGTCCGTCTCCACTCTGGCAGTCTCCACATCGTCGCCATCCCCTTCATCTGCCCTCCATCATTCATCCCTTTCCTCCAATTCCTCCTCTCCCTCGTCTGTCTCCCCGACAACTTTAGTCAGGCGGCCAAGGATACCGCCATCCTCCGTAAAAATGATGCTTTCCTCGCTCCATTGCAGCTGCCCATCGCCGGGGGCCTGGAGCCCTGGCAACGGTGCATGGGCTTGGAGCAGCCTTGCTCAGCGAAATCCGACCAATTTAGACCTGGCGATTGCGTCAAAGGGTCAACCGGAGATGTTTCCACAACACCAACAGACGGATTGGTCTTGGTATCTGGACAGTCCTTATGACCAACTGGCACATCCGCCCGTTGTAGGTCAGTCGGAGCAGCACAGTTTCCCACCGAAAGAGGACGATCAGAGCATCAATTTCCCTCGACTCAACGATTCCCCAACGAGATCCAATCGGCCATTCCTCAGTCGACAGCAGCAACATGTACAAATGTTGCTTCGGCATGGCATGAGCCAACCGATGCAAAGACCTCGGCGTGTCGACGTATTCCACGCTGTGCCGCCATTGACGACCGGTGTTGACGAATTTGTCTCCAGCAGGCAGGACGGAGAGCACGATGAAGAGGAGGACGAAGAGGAAGAGGAAGAAGAGGAAGGGGAAGGAGAAGAAGAAGAAGAAGAGGAAGAGGAGGGGGAAGAAGAAGCAGGAGGAGTAGAGGGAGAAGTAGGAGAAAATAGGGAGGAGATTATCAGGCCAATCAGACTGCATCTCTGCTCGTCAGCACAGCAAGAGTCGCTGCTGCTTCCGCCTCATCTCACATTTCGTACGTCCACTCGCCTAGCGAGATGTGCAGAAGAGGACGAAGAGGAGGATGTGAACGGGAGGGATGACTCTTTCGCAACAGAACACGAGAAGGAGGAGATTGACGATGAGTTGGAGAGAGCAAAAAGAGACACTCTTTGTGTCGGAGAAAGTCATCTTTTCCGCGGCCAATGTCCAACTCGGCTCTGCATGAGGACAGTTGTGGGGCTCGGGGCAGAGTCGGGCTCCCACTTGTACCGCTGGCCGGAGGCGCAAGTAGACGAGTCTACCGCTTTCCTGATGCCCAGGTCGAGTGTGTCCGGCCAATTCGCCTACCCTCAAAACCCTGGGACAAGCGGGCCCGGGAGACATGTCAATTGGCCGATGAGCCTCTCGACAGAAACGCACAACTTCCAACTCAGGGCTCCAGCACTAGCCGCCGACGTCCGAGTCTTCCCAG